AAAAAAGCCGGAAGTGGCACTGTGGCTCAAGTGGTAGAGAGCTAGCCTTGAGCTGAAGAGCTGAGGGACAGTGCCCAGGCCCAGAGTTCAGGCCCACGTCCGGACCCAAAAAAAAAAAAAAGGCTTAGTAAACTGCTGAAAAGATAAAATAAGACTCAGTATCCAGCCTAAACCAAAGACAAATCTGCTGTTTCAGTAGAAAAGATTTTTTATCCAGGGCATAACCACCCAGCCTTCCTGAGGGCTCTGCTACTCCAGAAGGCTTGTTTCAGCCTGGCAGAGCCTGCACCCTAGATGTTGGCCAGTCAGTGAGAAGGAAGACCATATGTAAAAACCCCAAGTAGGTTCCAGGCACAGCCTCTTCAGGCTAGGAGACTATAGGCCTACTGCCTGTTCAGCTTCCTATAGGGAAATCCATTAAGGCTTGTGTGTTTAAGCGAGCTGTAAACTCCCCAGGGCTGTAGGGTCTATCCAGCTGATCATTGGGAAGAGGAGAGGTGGGGTAGTCAACAAAGGCAAGTTGTGGCAGAGATGTGAAGACCATCTGGCCAGAGAGGTGGTGGGTTAGCCACGCAGTCTCTGTGCCCACTCTCAGACTGCCCTGCTGATGCTATAGAGAATGGAGCTGCCTGGACTGGTAGAGGCAGGGAGGGCCCAGACTGGCCACAGACTGAGGTGGCAAGACTTGGTCAGGTAGCCGTGTGAAAAGGGCTGAGAAACCCACCCAACTGTGCCAGCCTCCCTAGAGATGGGCCCTGGAGGCAAAGGAGGAACAGAGAGTCTAATGGAGGGAAACCAGTGTATAATAAGAGAGTGGGGATGGGTACCAGTGGCTCACACCTGTAATCCTAGCTACTCAGGAGGCTGAGAGCTGAGGATCACGGTTCGAAGCCAGCCTGGGCAGGAAAGTCTGTGAGACTCTTATCTCCAATAAACCACTAGAAAATCAGAAGTGGCGCTGTGGCTCAAGTAGTAGAGTGCTCGCCTTGAGCTGAAGAGTGCAGGGACAGCGCCCAGGCCCAGAGTTCGAACCCTATGACCCACAAAAAAAAAAAAAAAAAAGAGTGGGATGCTGGGTGGGGGCCAGGAGAAGGTGCTTCAGACATGCTCCTGTGGCCCCTGCTTGGACACATTCCCCCAGTGGTATTACATCAGGAAAATGCAGTATCACCGGGCACTATGTCTTCCCTTGCAGCTGGTGTACCCAAGTGACTTCCAGCTCACTGACAAGGAGGTAGGTCCTGGCCCTCTTGGGAGTAGATGTACACCAGGAGTGAGCTGACTCTCAGTGGGCTCTGTGTGTTTCAGAAAAGCAGCATCTGCTACCTGTCCTTTCCTGATTCTCATTCAGGTAGGTGACCCCACACTTCCTGGACTGTCTGCGGGCTCTGATGGGCAAGAGGAGGGGAGGTAAAGCCCAGGGCAACGACATCAGTGCCACCACAGATACACAGAGCACTGGTGGGATGGGTCTCCACTCAGCAAAGACACCTGGAGCCCCATGCTCGCGTCCCCTGCAGGACTCTTTCCCCCTGACCCCTACAATATCAGGAGAGGCTCCCGGCCCTAAGGAAGGTGGTGTCGGGCTGCCTCCTTCCCAGGCTGCCTCGGAGACACTCAGTTCAGTTTTCGAATGCGCCAGTGTGGAGGGCGAAGGAGTCCCTGGCATGCCGATGACAGGAACTACAACAGCAGGGCCCCTGTGGCGCTGCAGGTGAGTGTGGGTGACCTCTGTGGCCTGCCCTTTTACCCTGCTCCTTAGGGCCTTTCAAAGCTCCTAAACCTTGAGTGACAGGAGAGGTGCTGATGGAGGGCATCCTACGGGGTCACCAATTGTTTCAGCCCTGCCACTGCCAGTGTTGCACCAGGGAAGTTCATTGTGCATGGGCTTGCCAGTTTCAGAGTCTCTTGGAATATTTCTTCCTTGGTTGGCTCCCTGACCCCCTCCCTGGCTCGATACCTATAGGGTGAATAATGAGCAGATGCTTGCAGGGCCTTCCCGGCTCCTGCCCTAGCCTCCCTTCCCTATGTCAGTTGTGTCAGGACAGGCTTCTTTCTTTCTTTTTCTTCTTTTTTTTTGTCGGTTGTGGGGCTTGAACTCTGGGCCTGGGCGCTGTCCCTCAGCTCTTCAGCTCAAGGCTAGCGCTCTACCACTTGAGCTACAGCGCCACTTCCGGTTTTCTGGTGGTTTATTGGAGACAGGCGTCTCACGGTCTCTCCTGCCTGGGTTGGCTTTGAACCTCGATCCTCAGATCTCAGCCTCCTGAGTAGCTAGGATTACAGGCCTGAGCCACTAGCGCCCGGCTCTTTTTTTTTTTTGGTCAGTCATGGGTTTGAACTCTGGGCCTGGGCGCTGTCCCTCAGTTCTTCAGCTCAAGGCTAGTGTCTACCACTTGAGCCACAGCACCACTTCTGGTTTTCTGGTGGTTTATTGAAGATAAGAGTCTCATGGACTTGGCTGCCTGGGCTGGCTTTGAACCATAATCCTCAGATCTCAGCCTCCTGAGTAACTAGGATTACAGGTGTGAGCCACTGGTGCTGGCTAGGACAGGTTTCTAGAGTGGTATTGCCCACGTTCTGAGGAAAGGACCTTACACCCAACCCTGGGAGGGCCTTCAAGCCTGCAGTGAGGACACGCCCTAGAGCACAGGGACAGCAGCTCCTGGGTTTCTGCATCTCCAGGCTTCAGTCTTCAGCAGTCCACTTGTCACCACTGGCCCCACGCCTGCCGGTGGGCTTGGGTGGGGCATGCTAATACTGCACTCCTTCCAGAGGGAGTCAGCACACTACCTTGGCTACGTGTACTTCAGGCAGGTGAAGGACAGCTCTGTGAAGAGGGGCTACTTCCAGAAGGTGAGGGGCCTGCCGCTGTTGGGTGGCTATGGAGAGGTGGGAACTGGCAGGCAGCGGACGGTGGGGCGGGCTAGGAACCCTGCACCTCCAGGAATCCCCACCCTCTGAGGTGTTCTGGGCCACAGAGCCATCTCCACAGCTCTCCTTGCAGGCCCTTCCCTAAGATCCATCTGTTCTACACCTTGGACAGCTCTCCTCCTCACTGCTCAGTGGCCTCGCATACTATCAGGGCTAGGAAAATTTCAGTTTGGAACTTAGGCACTGAAGGCCAAAAGCTACTTGGCCACTAAGAAGGTCATGCTAGAAACCATAAATTTCCTTCTGAAGGCCCCAGTCTAGCTCCACCCTGTTGTCATCTGGAAGTTTCCCCCACCTTAGGACACAGGCATTGGGCTTTCCCGCCTCATCCTGCTGGAGTCTGAGTTGGCCACTCTGAGGGTTGGTGGGATGTACTGTCTGGGCCAATTGTGTGTAAGTGTGCCATCAGAGGCGCTCTAGGACCTTGAGTGGCAGAGGGTAACATCTGGAGCTTCATACTCTAACTGGACTTGTGTTAACACAGTCTTTGGTGTTGGTGTCCCGCTTGCCCTTTGTCCGGCTATTCCAGTCACTGCTAAACCTGGTTGCTCCTGAGTACTTTGAGAAGCTAGCTCCCTGCCTGGAAGCAGGTGAGCTACTGTTCACACGGCCATTGTAGTCTTAATACACAGCTTCTCCTTGAGGAGGGCTCCTGACTTTGGCCACTTGTATCCACAGTTTGTAATGAGATTGACCAATGGCCAGCCCCTGTTCCTGGGCAGACCCTGAATCTACCTGTCATGGGAGTTGTCATCCAGGTGAGAGCCAGCTGAGGAACTAGTACTACTTGGAAAGTGCTCAGACACACTCTGCTCCCCTAGCAGCTGCATTTCTTCCTCCCAGGTGCGCATCCCTTCTAAGGTGGACGGTCCAGAATCCAGTCCTCCAAAGCAGTGTGACCAAGAGGTGGGTGATGGGGCAGAGGGAGCTGGACTCTGCCTGAGTGCTGCTCCTGGGCTGTATGGTACCTCCCCGTCTCCCCTGCTCAAGACAGGCAGACAGGAAGGCAGAGCAGCAGTGCCTGTCAGCGGCAGAACCTGTGCTGCGTGGAGGGGAACAGCATGGGGCATGGGGCATGGGTATAGGGTTTTCCTCAGGTGCAAACTTCAACCTCCATCTTGATCTATTCTCCTTCCATCTGACAGAACCTCCTGCCAGCCCCCACGGTCCTTGCCAGTGTGCATGAACTGGACCTGTTCAGGTAAGCCCTGTATGGTGTTCATGCTACTTTGGAGAAACCAACCAAAGGCTAGGTGTCTGTGTGCCATGCGGGGTGGGGCTGCCAAGAGAGGAGCCCACCATCTGGAGTAACTCTTGGGTCAGTCCTTTGAGAGGCAGTTCTGCAGAGAGGAAATCCAGGCACAGTGTCAGAGTAGGAGAGAATGACCACATGTGAAGAGACATTTGCTGCCTGAGCTGTCCCTCTCTGCCTCTTCGAGGGAGCCTGGGCCATGATGGGCCCCACAGAAGCCAGAGCCATAGTTTGTGGGGGAGCTTGCAGGAGAACATCAAGGGTCTGGGTGGGAAGCCCCTGTCAGGGTTTTGGGGCTGCAGCATGATTGCCAGCCCTCACAGTCGGGGTCCAGGAAAACCCCGTTCTCAGGGCTTTAGGTGGTCTGTTGGAGACAGGATGGCTGATGAGTGTCCCGCTGCCGGAAGCCTCAGCCCTGCCTGAGTTCCCACTGCCCTGGCCACTCTAGGTGCTTCCGGCCTGTGCTGGCCCACGTGCAGATGCTGTGGGAGCTCATGCTTCTTGGGGAGCCCCTAGTGGTTCTGGCACCCTCACCTGACATGTCTTCAGAGCTGGTGCTGGCCCTAACAAGGTATGCACCTCACCGCTGGCCCATCCTGGCTGGACTGGCTGCCCCACCCTAACCTGTCCCTGCCTCCCACCCCACAGCTGCCTGCAACCCCTCAAGTTCTGCTGTGACTTCCGCCCTTACTTCACCGTCCATGACAGCGAGTTTAAGGAGCTCACAACACGCACACAGGCCCCGTAAGTGCACAGCCTCCCCCCCCACCCTCCCACACCAACTCCCAGCCTCTCTGCTTCTTCTCTCTCTCTTTCTCTCTCTCTCTCTCTAGACCAAACGTGGTCCTGGGAGTCACAAACCCTTTCTTTATCAAAACACTCCAGCACTGGCCCCATGTCCTCCGCATCGGGGAGCCCAAGATGTCAGGTGAGGGTCCGGGTACCCTTGAAGCCTTACCTGACTTGGGGTTTTGTGGGGGGGCCTGAGCCCTATGACCTATGACCTCCTAGCTATAGACAGGACCAGAGCCATGGCACTGAGGCCTGGCCACTGGGTATGTTTCACAGGGGACCTGCCTAAGCAAATCAAGTTGAAAAAGCCCTCAAGACTCAAGACCCTGGACACCAAGCCAGGTCCATGCCCTTCTAGGGCTGAAGCCCTCTCTGCTGTGGAGAAGCCCGTCCTGCACTTGGTGGATCGGTCACCTGGCAGGGACAGCCAGCCCTCCTGACCCCTCCTCCTTCTACTCAGAGCCCCCACCCCCACCCAGGAGTAGAATGGGGATTGTCTGTTTTTTCTGTCAGTCATGGGGCCTGAACTCTGGGCCTGGGCGCTGTCCCTCAGCTCTTCAGCTCAAGGCTAGCTCTCTACCACTTGAGCCACAGCGCCACTTCCGGCTTTTTTCTTTTTTGCTTATGTGGTGCTGAGGAATCGAACCCAGGGCCTCAGGCATGCAAGGCAAGCGCTCTACCACTGAGCCACCTGCCCAGCCCCAGACTGTTGTCTTTAGCAGGCACGTTCTTTGAATCTGGGGTTGGGCCAAAGGAGTGGAGCTTAGCCAGCTATCCTCACCTGTCAGTAGAGCTGTGAGACTGGGGAAGGCGGGCCTGGGGGGCTGCTACAGCTCTGACCTCCCGACAGGTCTTTACACCTCGTTCACGGCCCACCTCCACCGGGACAAGGCACTGCTCAAACGGTTGCTCAAGGTACAGTCTATTGGGGCCTGGCCCTGGGCATGTGGTGCCATTGGCTATGCTCATCCTCTGCCGCTTCCTGCAGGGGGTTCATAAGAAACGTCCTTGGGATGCACAGAGCGCCCTGCTGAGGCAGCGCCTCCTGGAGCTCACTCAGAGCTTCATCATTCCCCTGGTAAGGCCTGGCAGGGCATGGTGTCGGCAGAGGCGGGGGGGGGAGGGCGGGGCAGAGGGAAGGGGGGCGCAGTCAGTGTCACAGCGGCAGGGACAGTAGGGGCCCAGGCCCAGGTCCAGGCTTATCCTCCTCCCTGCCCACAGGAGCACTACATGACCAGTCTCATGCCACTGCAGAAGAACATCACACCCTGGAAGGTGGAGTCTTTTGGGGTCTGAGGAGGGGCAGATTCCCTCCCTATCACGGGGGGCGGGGGCGGAGGGGGGCTGTGATATGGAGCCATAGAGCTTTTACCAGGTGTCCCTTATAGGGTATAAAACAGATAGGGGCTCTGACAGAACCCATGGAGGGGTTTGGTACCTCCTACCTGGGTCAAACCTCCAGAGATTAGTCCTGTGAGGGGTGGGCAGGGATCATTAGACACATCCTGGGTGGAAGGACCTAGTTGGATGAGGGACAAAGCCTTCAACTGTGTTCCTAAGCACTAGGATTCACCTAGCCTCTCTGGCCTCCTTTGTAGACTCCTCCCCAGATCCGTCCCTTCCGCCAGGATGAATTCCTGCGTAGTCTGGAGCATGCTGGACCCCAGCTCACCTGCATCCTCAAGGGCGACTGGCTAGGCCTGTACAGGTGGGGAGATGGTGGGTGCAGACTCCGAGGCTGCTCCTTGGCCTACTGGGTCGATTATAGCTGCCTCTCACTACTTACAGACGGTTTTTTAAGTCACCCCATTTTGATGGCTGGTACCGGCAGCGGCACAAAGAGATGGCTCAGAAGCTGGAAGCCTTGCATCTGGAAGCAATTTGTGAGGCGGTGAGGGAGGACAAGAGGGGGATGGGCATTGGCCAAGGGTAGGGAGGGTATCTGAGTGTGGAGAACCCAGAAATGTCCCCAGAAAAGGACAAACACTGGCTCATGCCTGTAACTCTAGCTACTCAGGAGTATTATGGCTAAGGCCTTCCTGGGTAAATTAATTGTGAGACTATGGGGCATGGTGTTATGTGCCTGTCATCCTAGCTACTCAGAATGTGTGAGTAGGAGGATCACTCTCCAGGCCCACCCAGCCAAAACGCAAGACCTGACTTGAAAATTAATGGGAGGGGGGCTGGGAAGGTGGATCAGTGGTAGAGCGCTTGCCTTGCATTCCTGAGGCCCTGGGTTCGATTCCTCAGCACCACATAAGCAAAAAGAAAAAAGCTGGCAGTGGCTCTGTGGTTCAAGTGGTAGAGCGCTAGCCTTGAGCTGAAGAGCTAAGGGACAGCGCCCAGGCCCAGAGTTCAGGCCCGACAGGAAAAAAAAAAAAAGAAAAAAAGAAGGTCAATGGGAAGGGGAGCATGATTCAAGTGCCTGGCCCCTCCCACTTTCCCTGCAGAACATCGAGTCCTGGATGAAGGACAAGTCGGAGGTGGAGGTCGTGGACCTGGTCTTGAAACTTAGGGAGAAGCTGGTGAGAGGCCTCCCCATCCTACCCACCCAACACCCACCTGCCCCTGCTTTAGCACACTGCCCCTGACGGCCATTGCCCCTCCAGGTGCGGGCACAGTGCCACCAGCTCCCTGTGAAGGAGGTAACACTGCAGCGGGCACAGCTGTACATCAAGACTGTCATCTGCTCCCTGCCCAAGGACCTGCAGGCTGTACTATGCCCTCCCTAGGATTCAATCCCAAGGACATGGGCTGGCCAGGCCTCCCTGTCCCCTGTGGGGTGGGCTTCTGCCATGTGTGAGCTCCGAGCCTCGGCTCCCTAACCAGGCTGTGGTCTCCTCCCAGCACCACCTGTGTCCCCGCAGTAAACATGACATTTGGAACCGCAGCCTGTTCCCCGTTGGGAGATTCTGTCCTGGCAGAGCTTGGCCCCTCTTGGGCCTTACCATTCCCTCCACTGCCATTGCCCTGGGGTAGAGGTGGGCTGTGAGCCTTCAGTGATGCGGACACACTCAACATGCCCCTGCTGGCACCCATCTGTCTACATACCACGCCTTGTGTTTGGTGTGTTCTTTAGCCCAACAAGCTACCCAGCCTAGGACGGAGGAGGCGGCTTCCAGGGCTGATTCCCCCCCCCCCCAACCCCAGCCTTGGCTAGGGCAGGAGAAGACTTTGCTTACAGTCACTTGGGAGGGCACTGGCTGCCTGGTGAGGACCTCACTCCCCACTGCACTGGTTTGCTGGGGAGGGGAACAGGGAGTGGTGTGGTGCCTGGCACTCCTGCTGGGCGAGCAGGCTCAGCCTGTCTGGCGGTGGGGGAAGGGTTCTCCTGCATGGCTCTGATCCTTTCCTGGAACACCCCACCCCCCCACCCCCTCTGGACACCAGATGCATACATTCCATTCTGGCTAAGAGGTATACCAGCTGTCTCTCTTCCCCCCAAACCTGAGGGGTTTATGTTCTGACTTTACCTTGCCTCCCTGGCCCCCACTAGCACAGTGTGAGTGATAAGGGTCCTCCTGGGTGCTCATCAGTTCTTCCAAGCCTGGCACAGTGAGGTTCACTCTTGACATCACACAGCACTGTCTAGACCTGAGAGGGATGTGTATTGAGGTGCAGGCCCAGAACTGCAGGCAAGCCAGCTAAGTATGATCTGCTGTGAACTTGTGGGTAGGTCTTCTGACCACTCAGACCCTCAGCTCCTCATCTGAAAGATGAGACCATGCCCCAGCACAGGCACAAGGTGTGGTGGGTGTTGTAGACTAGGCTCTGGGCCCTGTTGCTGAAGGGGTTGCTGGCAATGTGGTCTGATGAAGCCTCCTTACAGTACTGTGGTATCCTGTCCTGGGTTCCTTGGTCCTTGGATGGTGACTCAAGTGAGGAGAGGTAGATGGAACCCTGCTTGACCTTCCACACCAGGTCTGGATGAGTCCCCCAGGCAGGGTGAGGGTGCTGTTTCAGTGTTCTCATAGCCTGATGACTTGTTACCCTGACTTGGGCCGAGGACAGCCTGTTGCTGTGTCCATTTTGCAAGTGAGCTAGATCAGTCCAATGCTGGTCCAAGGATGTGTCTGCAGGTAGATGGCAGAGTGGTGGGTGGAGGTGGAAGCCCAGCAACAGGTAGCACACCCATGACCATCTGGCCCAGAAGTGTCAGCCTCTTCACCAGGGCTGCTTTTTTTTTCTTCCAGTCCTGGGGTTTGAACTCAGGGCCTGAGCACTGTCCCTGAGCTTCTTTTTGCCACTGAGCCACAGTGCCACTTCCAGTTTTTTCTGTGTATATGGTACTGAGGAAGGAACCCAGGGCTTCATGCATGCTAGGCAAGCACTCTACACTGAGCCACATTTCTTCATTGGCACTCAGCTGGAACACTAGGGCTACAGGGATGGTGGAATTCTGGCTGACACGCAAAAGCCTGGCTTTGATGTGCCCAGCCTGAGATAGCGCAGCCCCTGAATATCTCCAGCCCATGGTTACAATTGTGATTCCATCCTGGAAGGGCCTTGAAAAGCTGGAGGACCTGCAGGGAAGCCTCCACAAAGCAGGGCCGTTGGCTTCCAAGGTGTACAGCCAGATCCCTGAAGGCTACTAGATCCTGTCAGCAGGCCATCCTCAGGACACAGGGTGGGCCTTGAGACAGATTCTTTTGAGGCAAGGTAATACTGCCCCAGTACAATCTAAGATGGAAACATGCAGAAATACAGGGACCTTTTCTCCTAAAGTTAACAGTCCCAAAGAAGTTGTCCAGGTGAGCCAGTGGCTCACGCCTGTCATCCTAGCTACTCAGGAGGCTGAGATCTGAGGATCACGGTTCAAAGCCAGCCTGGACAAGGAAAGTACATGAGACTTATTTCCAATAAACCACCAGAAAACCGGAAGTGGTGCTGTGCCTCAAGCAGTAGAGCGCTAGCCTTGAGCTGAAGAGCTGAGGGACAGCACCCAGGCCCAGAGTTCAAGACCTACGACTGACTAAAAGAAAATAAGAAGTTGTCCAGGCTGTCAGGATGGCCCAGTGGTCTAAGACTCCAGACTCAAATTCTGACTTCCCAGAGGAACTGTCCAGGCTTCTGGGTACTGCACAGCTTGGGGTCTCTGTTCCACCTCCTGCACTGCCAGGATCAGCTCAGCTCTGAGTACTAGCTCTGTTGCTAGTAGTTTGGTATCCGGCCCCAGCGGCTCCTGCACCAGGTCCCGGAGAAGGGGAGGAAGGGGCTCCTGGAGCTAGAGGGTCCCGTAGGCAGGACACCTGGCGGGCAGATTAGCGCCGGAGCCCTTGTGGCCTCTGTGGTGAGGGAGGCAGCCCGGAGGTGGAGGAGGGCGGGTGGAGGTCAGGAGGCTCATCCTCCAGCTGCCTGCGGACAGCGGACAGCGGCCTTCCCACACCCAGGCACTCTTCCAGCGCGGTCCTCGGTCCTAGGGGCTCAGCCTCCCGGCTCCTGGTCACTGTTTAAACCAAAGTCCCGGGAGGGGTTTGGGCGGAGGGAGAGGAGGAGCGGACGGTCTGCCGAGAGGGGCCGGGACCCCGCGGGCCCGCAGCGCCGCCAGCCGGCTTCCCAAGCGGGGAA